AAGTAGACCTGCTTTTATTTATTTATTTATTTTGGTAGTAGGAATCGAACTCAAGACCTTGTGCTTTCCAGGCAGGCTCTGTGAAGCTGAGCTCTATCCCTGCCCCCACCTTTTTTGAGACAGGCTTTCACTAGGCATTTCAGGCTGTCCTGGAACTCACTTTGTAGCCCAGGCTGGCCTCAAACTCACAGCGGTCATCCTGCCTCCGCCTCCCGAATGCTGGGATTACAGACGTGCACCACCGTGGCCAGCCTGACCTGCTGCTTTCAGACTTCCAGTAGAAGTGCTGGATGGGAATGGTGATGAGTACATGGTAGACCTCGACTGGGGTCAGGGTGCCACAGTCCCCTTCAGGTACATATAGGCTCCCAAGAGCATCACTCTGGGAATCAAGCCTTTATTAACAGAGGAGCCACAGGGGGACATCCGGATGCAAGCTCTAGTGCAGATCTGCTTTGGAGAAATATCCATTAATATACTTGGTCTGCTTTTAAAGTTGTTTATCTTTCTGTTACTGAATTTTAAGTGTTCTTTTTATATTCTGCATGCTAGACCCTTATCAGATATATGACTTATAAATACTTTCTCCAACTCTATAGGATGTTGTCTTTTTAGTTACTTGTAATATCTTTATAACTGCTATAAGAGCCAAAATGCTTTTAACCTGTGACTTCTTCGAAATGGATTGTTAGAGGCCAGAATGGTGCAGGTTGTGTTGCACTGTGACTACGTGGCATATAACAGCATAAGTAATTCCTCGCTTACGCTGCCTCACTCTCTTACATTGCTGGGCGCTCTGGTTCATGGTGTCCTCATTAACCCGCCGTCTGGAGGTCATTGAGGAAAGGGTGAGGTCTTTTGCACGCAAGCTCTTCAAGGATCCCACTTGAACTCTTTTTCCTTAACCAAAGCAAGTCACTAAGCCACTGCCAGCTTAGAGAGAGAAGTGCATTTCTACCAAGTGCCCAGGAGAGGGACAGGAAGCAGCTGGTACACACAGCCAACCAAAGGTTATCACGGAGCCTGTGGTGTGCAAAATAGGTAAAGGGTTTGTTCCCATTTAAGGAGAATTTGAAAATGTATGGTAAAGCATCACTGATTGAAAAATTTGAGGGAAGTTTTATACTAACTGTGCTTGCCAAAATCTACTTTTGCAAGCAGAGTTAGTGTACTACTTTTGCAGTAGACTTTAGTGAGAAACATTGTTCAGCTGAATGATAATATTGGTAGGATTTAGTGAGGAGAATCTTTGGCTCAGTTTAGAAAAAACAATTTTAAGTAGTTTAATGGGAGGCATTTATGCTCAAGGAATTTGGGTACAGGTTATTTGTCTTTTAAAACTTTCTGTGCTAAAACTCTGAAAAAGAAAAGGAAATAGCAGTGATAACAGATTGGAGAAGCTCTTTTAAACCTATTGTTTTTATGAGGGTTTTAACTTCACAACATTTAAAAGCTGAATAACTTACAAGTCATATAAAAGAGGATAAACTAGTGCCATTCATAATTGAAGATTAAGTTCAGTTTCCTACAGAGTAACAAAAATTATGACATAAACTTATAGTTGTTTAATCTATTTACTAATTCATAGAAGCATAAAAATTAAAATGTATAGAATTTCCATATATTTTTCAGCTACATTGCTAAAAGTCTGGTATTAGAAAGCAGAGAATATTATAGAACACCAGTAGGTGTCAGTCATAGCCTACACAATGCTTTATTGCTTTATTTGCCAGGATTTGTGAGCATTTGTTCGTAGGTAGTTTGTTTATGTAGGGTTTATGGGGTTTTTTTTGTATTTTAAAAAGGGAACATTCTAATGAACTGCAATTTTATCAAGGTCAGTGTACTTATTTTTAAATAAAAACACATCTTACTTTTTAATAATGACATAGTGATGCCCTTTTGGCAGCAAAAACATTTTAGCACTTGTGTCTACAACCAGAAGTTGAAAGAACTAAGAAGTTTGTCATGGAAGATTAGAATGCAGTCCGAGGGAGCCAGAAAGAATGACTGGGTTTCCTGTGACTTGGCCAGATGCAGTATCAACACTGTAATAGGGGAAGACGGATGAGGACCCAAACGCATTTCTTTTCTGGACAAGTCTTTATAGGCGTGGCCATAAGCAAGCACTGCCCCCCCCACCCCAGTTCTCTAGCTCTGTTAAGATACATTGCATGTATGCCTACAGTGGAAGTGTGTATTCTTCTGGGAGAGACAACAGAACTTAATGAAACATTGCAGGGATTTGGATGGATCCCTGCGTAACATGAGGAAGGGTATTTTGAAGGATCTTATTGCATATATAGATATAAAAAATATCAAGGGGTAGGGAGTCACAGCTTGCATAATTTAAAAAGTTAATATAAGTGGTTCTGTCAAGAGTGGGTATTTGGTAAATGTTTCATTTACTTTATAATAATATTCATATATTTAATATATTCAGTATTTGCTTATCAAGGGCAAAGATGTATATATATATATAAGCAGCTTGGGATACTATTGCTGAATATTTAAACACATCTTCATGCCAATGTAAAGTTAATGCAACATATGTAAGCAGCAGAGACCACCAGGCTAGTGTAAGGGCAGCATAACATGGAATTTATTGTGCCTGGGTGCAGGCAGAGAGCGCGGTAGGACCTTCTGCCCTGAACAGAAGTGTGTCCCTTTTATAGGGAGGCAGAGAAGGCAGGGGACACTGGGTGGGAAGGGATAGCCCAGTGAACATCTGTGAACATCATAGGAAAAACTCTTAAAGTTTTCTGGCAGTCCAGTCCTTTGAGGTGTCTGCTGTAAGTTTTCAGGTGTCCCTAAGACCTGCAAAATTCCCTGTCCTGTCTTATCTCCTTTTCTGTGCTTGTCGGTGATGGCATCTTCAGTACTGAGCTGGGTTCCCTGCAGATGCCAGAGCTTCAGCTGGCTGGCAGGCTGGGGCTGGGAGAGTCAGGCCTGGCTGGAGGCAATTTACAGTTAATAATGTTGTTTCCTGGTCTAAAGTGAACAGGCAGATTTCCATTGTGTTTTGGACTTTAAGAAAGTTATTCTTTCGTATAAAATAAAAACCCTTAATGATGTATTCCTTTCCATTCTCCAAAAAACCACCCCATATCTTCAAATTTGGTGGCCCAGCCCACTAATCCAGTGGCAGCTATCTGAGTGTTTCCATCTCAGATTGTAAACACTGAGATTGACTAGCCAATTATGTAACAGCTTTACAGTGCCTAGTACATTTTTAAACTTAATTTTAATGTTTTCAATTACAAAAGACAGGTTTATGGTTAAAAATTCCAATGTCACAAGTAGAAGGAGAATAGCAATTCTGGTCTGTTTCCTAAAAATAATCATTATTAGTTTCTTTTTAAAAAAACTTTTAAAGCTTTTTTGCTACTAAATTGATGAAAAATTACTTTGTCATTAAAACTCTAAAACTTTATAGCCCCCAACACTTTAGTTTTTCTGTTGACACAACTGTGTTTATAACAGAATTTTTAAAGGCCGAAGTTTAAGGAATTCTATTCAGAAGTTATAGCAGGATGGATTATATTTTCAGTTTCCTAAAATGCCTCCTATCTCTTTTGCCTTTTCATATGTTACTTCCTGTGCTTAGAAAGCTAACTGGGACTGTCCTCACCACCTCATGTCAGCCTCTTATACTGTACCTTTGTCTTTCAGACTTAAGTCAGGTGTGATTTGTCCTAAAAAGCCATTTGTGATTCTTCGTCATTAATGTCTGACTTACCTTGTAGTATGTTTGAATGCAGAATGAAAACACATCCTGTGTACTCCTTCAGTCTTAACGACATATCTTGGGGCTGGGAATTTAGCTCAACGCTGCAGTGCCTATCTGGCAATTCTGAGGTCCTGAGTTCGATTCCCGGTACCCCTCCAAAAAAACCCAAAAATCAAAAACCATATCTTTGTATACATGTAAATTTGAAGTGTGTGTGTGTGTGTGTGTGTGTGTGTGTGTGATTAAGAGAGAGACTGAGAGAGACACAGAGAGAGAGAGACTTTGTGTGTTAGGCTGGCTGTCAGGTATTTATAGGAGGTTTTTCCTCTACCCTGGGCCTCCTGTGGAGAGCAGTGTGCTTTCTGCCTGTGCGTGCCATTGTTCTAGGATTCCTTCCAAAAAAGAGCACTTCTCGGAAAAGCCAGCTTCCTCTCTCTGCCACCCCGTGCCTCTACCCTGGCCTCCAGACCTTTGGCCGGGTCTGACCCTGTGTCCTCCGCTGGACCACAGGAACCCCAGCCTCTGCTCATTCTGCACCTTGTTAGGTCTTACTGTGTGGGTGTCTGGACTGCCTGTACCTTCTCCTTAGGAACGTGATTTGGGAGCTAAGGGGGTGTTACCCTCCCGGGCTGATGTAACAAACACCGAAACTGAGTGGCTTGAAGAGCAGACATTTATCCTCTCAGAGTTTTGGAGGCAAGGGTCCAAAGTGAAGGTGTGTTCTGGGTTGGGCCTGTCTGGGGCTGTTCCTCTAGCGTTCCAGGTGCCAGTATTCCTTGGACTGCTTGTCTTCCAGCTGTATCCCTCTGGTCTCTGGCTGTGTCTGCACATGGTGTTCTCCCTATGTCTGTCAGCACATTTTAATTTCCTCCATGACCGTGGAATATGAGGGTCCTGATTTCTCTATAAGATGTTCCTTCTAAGTGTTCAAGCTTATGAACTGTAGAATGGGCTAGTAAGCTGAAACCTAAACCTGCCAATTTATTACTTTTACATTTTCTCAAAAACTTATACCCTTCAGCATGGCATGGTGGCCCGTTCTTGTAATCCAAGCACTTGGGAAGCTGAGGCAGGAGGATTGCCACAAGTTCGAGGCCAGCCTGGGCTACATAGTGAACTCAAGACCAGCCTGAACTACACAGCAAGACCCTGAAAAAAAAAAAAAAAAAAATTATACCCTTCAAGCAGATAGTACTTTGTGTTTAAGCAATTTACAAATGTTTATTCATTTTTCAAAAATAAAATTTAATTCTGAGTTTTTAATTTTCAGCCAGAAAACCTTGCTCAGAAGCTTCCAAACCTTGTGGAACTGTGAGTCTGTTTATTTAAACTTTTAAAAAACAAGACTGGAAATAATTTTATTTGAAATAATAGGATATGTCATTGTGATGTGCTAATGTTATCTTTTGATACTGTGATCATGGTGCTCCTGTGGGTAGACTTGTTTCATTGAACCCAATAGTGTTTTAAAGTATTTCACCATATACTGGTGTTTTTAGTGTCCCATCTCAAGGTAATGAAGGTGATGGGTGATGCATTTTCTCTGGCTAAAGCACTTGTCATGGAGGCTTCTAGATAGTTAATGTAACTGGGAAAAATCTATGCTTATTATTACTAATGTGGTACTAAGTAGGAATAGTGAGATGGTATGAAATGTTTAAAGGATATGGTGAAATTGTCTTTCTATGCACCCTCAACCCCTCATTAGTGTATTTTGATGATTACCTCCATGATGCTAAATAATGTGTTTACACCTTTGCTTGGCAATACATCAACTTTGAGTATTGACATTGACAGTGTATTGACATTGATGTACTGACATCGAGAAAGGTAAATTTAGGTCTTATATTTCTTTCTTCCTAGCTGGCCCTTGATTTCATTGCAGGATGACTTGCTTTGACATTTCTTGTTCTCTTCATTAAGATTCTTATAAGGTAAAGGAAAGAAAGCTAACCTTTTACATACCTCCCTCTTTATATTCAGAGCTTCTATCATTCCTTTTGTCAAATCCTCTTACTGTATTTTAGAATTTTTCAAACTAACAGGAAGTTTGGAAATATAGTACAATGTATACTCAGATACCTTTCACTTAAATTTAATCAATTTTAACATTTTGCCACAGTAGCTTTCTCTCCCCCCAAAATATTGGCATACACATACACACACAAACTATCTTGTGCTGAATATTTTGAAAGCAAGTTGCAGATAAAATATGATTGCACCTAGGAAAAGCAATAATCACTCGGTATCATTCTAATATACAGTTAAATTATCCCAATTTATTTTTTAAAACAGTGTATGTAAAGTACATATGTGTATTTGATTGTTTCCTGGTGATTACATTCCATTTAGCATTTCTTTTGTTGTTGTTTGTTTTGTTTTTTCCAGTGCCGGGAATCGAACTCACGATGTTGCGCTTGCCAGGCATGTGCTGTGCCGCTGAGCTAAATCCCCAGCCCCCTCCATTTGGCATTTTGATGGTGTTTTACTCCATTTACTTAGGTTTTCCCGCCATTCTTTTTGTACCTTTGTGTGTGTATTCCTTTTCTTTCTGAAGTTTTCAAAACTAAGTCAGATAATTGTGGCTCTTTGTTTGTCCCTAAATACTGTGTGTCTCTAAGAATAAAAGTTTTTTTCTTTCTTTCTGGGGTGGTGCTGGAGATGGAACCAAACACCTCAGGCATGTTAAGCGAGGGTTTTGAGCCCCACCGCGCCCTCCTTTTCTTAAGTCACTTTCTGTCCTTTAGGGGGCTTTTTAGTCTTTGTATAGTTTTTCAAAGTTCTAGAGTCTATTCTAACGTTTAGCTTTTCTTTTTGCCATCAAAATGAGTTTTCTCATTTGTTGTATCTTCTGACTGGTTAAATATATAACTGAGTTTAGCCTGTTAACTTTACACCCTGATATCCTGCTGAAACCCTATATTGTTTTAGTTATGTGGGTTCTTCAGGTCAGTGGTGGTGAACCTATGGCATGTATCTTATTTGTTTGTCTTTTAAGACAAAAGATGTTAATGTATGAATTGTTTTTTTCTAAACTAAAACCTTGATATTCAGGTTTAATTGCAGTGTTGGGTCTTTGCAATTGATAAGGGTTTTGGATTGCAGTTTGGGCACTCGATCTCTAAAAGGTTCGCCATTACTGCTTTAGGTTCTCCAGATATCCTCTCATGTCTGAAAATACAAATAGCGTATTTGTATTTTTTTTCCAACTCCCATTCCTGTAATTATATTTTCTGCTCTCATTGCGTTGGCTAGTTCCTTCAGAATGAGGTGTACCGGAATTCGCGTAGGGTTTCCTCGGTAAGAAAGATGCTGGTTTTGAAATTAAGATACATGTAGTCTATTGTGTGAAGCCATTATCCATCTGTATTAATTATCTATTGCTGCTTAACAACAACAACAAAAATCCCCCAAATGTTGTGACTTAAGACAATAAGCATTCTTATATTTTCTGGGCATGGCTTAGTGGATGCCTTTACCTGAAGGTCTCTCACAAATCTCCAGTCAGATTTGCTGTCCAGATTTGGGTTGTGGTCTCACCTAAAGGATTCCTTTCTATGTTCACTCACCCAGTGGTTGGCAGAATTCAGTTCCTCGTAGGCTACTGGGCTGGATGTCTTTCTTGCTAGCTACTGATTAAGCAGAGGATTCCCTCTCTTTTCTGCCACTCATCCTGTCTACTGAGTAGAGCACAACCTAGCAACTCAAGTTTCTCTTAGACCAAGCAAGCAAAACAGTCAGAGAGGGTAGGGAAGACAGAGCCATAGTCTCTTTCTAACCTGATCTTTGAGATGACATCCCATCACTTTTGCTCTGTTCTGCCCAGTAGAAGTGAGTCACTGGGTATCACCCCGCCTTGAGGGGAAGCTGTTACACAGAGCGTAAGTGCCAGGTAGTGGAGATCACTGGAGATCATTCTGGGCTGCCTTCCACACCGCTAATTCCAGTTACCCTCAGAATTTTAGTGTAATGGGCCCAGGATTTTGTTAAAGACTTTCTAAAGCTTTAAAGCTAAGGAAAAAATCCTTGGGGCCTTTAGGCAGTAAGATGAAATAATCATGAGGATGAATAATACAGCATAATACCCAGACTAAATTATACACATAATGACTGTTCAATTCTGGCTTGATGTTTTTGCCCTGAGCTTTTAAAAAGTATTTAAACTGTTATCTGGTATCCAGATTCTTAAGAAGTAAGTGCTGGGCTGGAGATGTAGCTCAGCGGTGCAGCACCTGCCTGGCAAGTGCAAGGTCTGGAGTTCAATTCCCAGTACAAAAAAAAAAAAAAAAGAAGTAAGTACTGTTTTAATCATTTCCCATATAAACATGTCATTTTTCTCTGTGTTAAAGATTGTCTTATAATATTTGGTTTTTAGTAGTTTAACCATGATGTATCTAGATATGATTTTCTTTGTATTTATTATGGAATTCAGTGAGCTGCTTGAATCTCTATTTTAATCATATTTGGAATTATTTTCAATCGCTATTTCTTCAAATACCATCATGTGCCCCTAATAATATTTTACTTAATGAAAGACTGCGTAAACAGCAGCGAATCCATAAGATTATATTGTCTAGTGACATTGTTGCTGTCTTAATCTAAGTAGACTGTGATGTTCACACCGTGATAAAATCACCTAATAATGCATTTTTCAGAATGTATTTTTTTATTTGCCATTCCGTTTCTCCTTGTTAAAGTCCATGTATACTACACATATGTTAGACTTATTGATGTTATTCCACATACCTCCGAGGCTCATTGATATTGCCCTCAATCTTATTTTCCACACTTCAGATTAGATCATTTATGTTGATCTGTTTTCAAACTCATGGACTCTTTGTGGCATTCATCCTACTGTTCAGCTTTATCCAGTAGAACATTTAGTTCTAGAGTTTTTAAGTTTTCGTTTCTCTGCTATTTACTATTTTTTAAATTACACGTTGTACTAAATACTTACAGTTTGATGTTGCCTCAGCATCTGCTTTAAATATAAGTTGGACTTTCTCCAACCAGAAATAGAGCTCACCCACTTTTGACACTGTTTCCAGTTGATACCCTACCCGCTCCCAGTTCTTCAGTATGGTGCGTCCAGGCATCTGCATATACCCTTGCTGCCTGGTGGCCACTTCCACATGGGGCAGTGAAGTGCAGTCTGTTTGACTGGTCCTGCTGACCCTCACACTGTGCGTGGGCCATGCAGATATGCCACAGCAAGTAGTTCCTAATCACTGCCTGACTTCCTGGAACTTATGCCCACTATCTTTAAACCCATCAATAAATCTCTGCTGACGAGCCTGTTAGGATAATTCCCTAAACCCAATACCATACGGGTGTTGGCCCTCAGGTCCCTCTACCTGTCTGTTCTTCCTGACCACATATGTGTAGTCTCCAAATGTCCTGTGTAACCCCCATATCTGTAAATAATAAAATCTTTATTCCTATTGTGTTTCTCTCTTAGTCAATCGATGTACTCTATTTTAAAGAGCCAGTTATATTTTATATTACTGTACATGATCTAAAATAGATTATAATAGCTACTTCATAAATCTGCTAATCGCAGCATCTAAGTTTTATTTGCTTTCCATTGTTGATGTTTTTATTGTTGATAATGTATCACATTTTCCTGGATTTTTGTAAGTTGAATAATTTTGATTTTTTAGTTTAATTTTATTTATTTATTTATTTTTGTCTTTTTGACACAGGGTCTCACTATGCAGTTCAGGCTGGCCTTGAGCTCACTTTGTAGCACAGGCTGGTCTCGAACTCGTACTGATCCTCCTGCCTCAGCCTCCCGATTGCTGGAATTACAGGCATGCACCACCACACCCAGCTCTTGATTTTAGATTATATTCTAGAAAGTGGGTTACCTTTTGGAGACCAGAAATTATTATATTTCCTTAAATAATGTTGATATTTTTGTTTTAGCAAATAATTTACCTGGTGTGACTCGAACAATAATCTTTGTCTCTTTTAACTCAGCTGAAATCTTAGCATACAGTAGTTCTGTCTTTCGCTGTAGTTTCTTACACATGGGTGTTGTTCAGGAGGTAGCCATTGATTTAGGTAGAGCTTATGTGTAGAATTTGGGGTTTCCAACCCGGGCTCTGTCTGGTATTACTCCTTTACTTTTTAGTGGCCATGGTGGCCCTGAACTCTGTCCTCTCATTCTGTAGGCTGGCAAGAGTAAAATTTTTTATCAGAATTTTAGCCAGTTTACATGGTAACCATCTAAAGAGTAAATGCCCTTTTATTTTTTAAAAAAGGGAACTCAAACTCACCCAATACTATTCCTTTAAGTTTTGACTCTTCCA